ACAAATACAAACACAAGCACGAGCACAACAAGCAGCAAACCACAATCCCTACCTGCGCTAAAAATTCTCCCATATAGCAGCTGCTGGCATTCAACCAGACGGATGTTTCGATTGCACTTCGAATTTGATTATTCGATTCAACGGCGGCAATGCTTCGAGCAGCACGTCTCAACGATGGCTGCTGGATGGCTCGATGAGGCAGGCAGGGAACAAGCAACGGCACTAAGCAACAAACACAACAAACAACCAACAAGCGTGTGGCAATTGCACTCGTTTAAGCACGGACGCACACCACAACCACGGCCAGCAACAGCAATTTCATCACGCCATCTGTACAAATCACTCGAGTGCCCATCGTCACCTCCACTCAGTTTTGTCTAATTCGCTTAGTGCATGTTCAATCTGCAGCTTATGCCTACCCATAGGTTTAGGTTTCGGCTTACAATTAGACTTACGGTGAAGAACTGAACGATATCCTTGGTGTGACTCTGAGCACCCGGGTGACTTGTATGCACTGATTCATCGGTATAGGTTTGTGTATGTGTGTTGCTTGTTGGCAAGGCAATGATGATCACATAACGACAATCGCCTTGCGAACGATTCAATTTTTATTCGTTGTTCCTGATTTTTGATCCATTACAAGACTGATGGATGGAAGAATTGAAGAAAAAATCTGAATCAAAAATAAGAACAAATGAACAGACGATCAATTCGATGAATCGAGAAAATAACCAAGTTTTATTGACGCCGTTTCTGAAGATCAATTCATGATTGGATTGATTTTTGAGAAGTGAAGAAATCATTTGGAGATTAACACGTAATTGATGGTGACAGAAAGAGAAATAACAAAGGAATAGATGAGTTAATGGTAGGAAATTTTACGATCAAATGGAAGATTATTGAATCCGTAACAACAACAACAACAACACTTAACATATTCTGATAGCCACGACTGAAGTTCACGATTCAGATTCATTCCAGTAATAGTAACAATATCACTAACACACGAATTTGACACTTCAGTCAAATTCCCTCTGTGTTATTCGAGAATAGAGTAGAGAAAGTTCTCATGAATTACGGAAAATGATTGTAACTATCGATGTTCAGTTCAACAGAGGCAGTGTTATGAAGTTACTAATGGGGTCTTATTGCCGATCATCGTGCACCGACAACATAATTCAGTAATATGCTATCAACGCTAGTGCTGACGCGAATTTACCTGATGCTAAAAGCGATCGTGAAATGAACTGACTCTGAATCAACAATTCTGTCACTCCTTACAAAATATACTACTTCAAAGATGATTGTTTATTTTGCTGTTCAATTGTGATACTGAAATATTATTGTCAGAGAATTAACCAATCATCCGATCCGAAAGCCTTACAATAAAACAATTCTTTACCAGAAACGAGCAAAGCCAGGAATAAGTCAGAGCTCAAGATTGAATGAGTGAAGTGTAGCACAAGTACTGTAAAAACAACAAGATGTCTTCGGAAATTTTGACATGACTTATACTCAGTTAACCTCCACTCTGATGTACTGCTATGACAGCTAT